TCAACCACTGCAGATCTGTTGGTAAGGCCACCAAAAACTCCAAGAGAATCAAACCCACCCCACCTTCTGTAGTTGGAACACTTTACCGGTCACAGTACATCGTTCACTGCAATGGATTCTTTTTACAACAAGATAGAAGCATGCAAGTACCCTCTTTAACTGGATGTGTAGAGTCACTAATTTTATATACTAGGTGATCTGCTTGAGGCCGTCATAACTGCTAGGACAACGAAGGGTCCAAAGGTTGTACAATTGGCGTATTTTAATTCGGTGAGCAGTGGTATAGTGTTATAGATTATCTGAGATATACTCACACCCCAATAACAGGTGGATGGAATGTCTGATTTATGCTCAGTAACAGAGGTGGACAAACCAAGATGTTGGAAGCTCACAAAGACCAACATTGACGACAACAGCCAAGAAGAAGTCGTACTGCGCATACAGGGTATTGTTTGCAATGCAAGTCTTCCACCATGATTGAAAACATTTACGACATACAGCACATTTTTGAGTGATCACTACCCCACAACACCATGGATGCATGGGTTCCTAGTTATTATGAAACATTCAAAGTATTGGATATGGGCAACCGCTATTTCACAGACCGACGTGATATAAACGGTGACACTCCTATTTCCTTTGGCACTGAGATTGACCCACACAATATACTTACGAACACATTGTCCAATGAATTTGTTCACCTCCTGGAAAATAAGGTTGATTATTATGAAGCACAACAAGGAACCAATAATATTATACGGTAAGCAATGGAGCGCTCAAATGATTCAAATTTGACTAATACCTCACAGATACTATGAAATCAACCCAATGAAGATACGTCCAGGAGATGTTGTGGAAGTGCAGGTATCATTCATTGCAATACCGCTCAAGCAACAAAGATACAAACTACTGGTGGTGCTATGTGCTATCACTCTACTAGATTGCAGTCCACTATGAGTAAGCTAATTCAGCCAAAGTACACAATGCTAACTGACAGAAAACAGAATGCAAGTATTGCATGTCGCATGAGTGGAGGTGCAGAACCCCGTCAAGCAAGCCAATTGCTGAAGAGAAGGATTGGTTATGAAGAGGATGAGGAGCATGACACTGGAGAGAAGTTAAGCAAGATGCACCTGGACTGAAGGGTGCAACAAATGAGTCATGCGCTGGTAGTCTATAATGTCATATGTTTTCCTAATACTAACATTCTGTCGATTAGTGTATCTGGCATTGACATTGAAAACAAACATGTGCAAAGGGAACTACCGCGCACGCGGTAGTTCAGTTTGCATGTATGATGATCATTGTTTGTATTGAATCTTACCGCCAAATTATGACATAAGTATCTGGCATCGGCATTGAAAACAAACATGTGCAAATGGAACTACCATGCGCATGGTAGTTCAGTTAGCATGTAAGATGATCATTGTTTGTATTGAATCTTACCGCCAAATTATGACGTAAGATCAGGCTCATCTGATCTCTAGCTGGGGCCGGTAATCTTGTTTGTATCTATTTCCAGCTGGGTAAAACTATTTGTATTTCTTTCAAAAAATGTGACATCACTGGGTTCAACTTCAACATACACCATCTTGAACCAGAATCTGAGCCATCACCAACAGATTCCGCAGTCTGTAAACCCCTGCGCCTACAGCACAGCACTTGCTGGCACTCATTCCATACTACACCTTAAAAAAAAAAGTTGATCACAAGTAAGCCAGCTAATCTACTACCATATTGAACTGACAAACAATTAGAAAAGGGAATGCAAGTCACCGTCCCATTTGACATCTTACAAAATACCGTCTTGGACCAGCTTACACTTGCTGAAGATTGGAAAACACTGTCCTCCATGTCCCAAACATGCCGATTGTTGGTTCAACCATCGCAAAGATGTCTTTTTACAACAATTTCTGTTGTGGGGCCCTCAGTTCAACACCTTTCCAAACTTTTACATGCCAGTCCACACATCACCCAATATATATACCACCTTCGTTATCATTTGGATGACTCTGACTGGGACATGCAGACAGGCCTGATGCAGCAGTTTCTCTCGCTAAAGAGTTTCAAGCTTACAGGAGGATATCCAATAAGAAACTGGAACACCATCCCAGAAGGGCTATGGACTGAATTTATTCGCGTCTTTTCCTCACCAAACCTCACAACCCTCGCGCTCTCTCAATTCCGATACTTTCCAGTTACCACCTTTGCACACTGTCACAACATCAGGCGTCTGAAACTTCACAACCTTCACATAAACTTCACTCCCCATGCTGGAGTCAAGAGGTTTGTCAGAAGACCCATCCCAAAGCCAACCATACTGTATATTGCACAGAATGACTCATTCATGTTTCCATGTTTATTCAAGGCTAAATGGAATGACACAAGTCCCATAATGGATTTATCTTCTGTCCATGTATTGCACCTTCATTATTCAGCATCAATACCAGGCAATGTCCTACATGATTGGAAACCAAACATTGAAATTCTTGCCATAACCAGTGTGTCACTACATTATATTTAAGGAACAATATTAATTAAATGCAGCCATGCGCCATCTGGAAAGTTTCTGCAATACCATGTTGGTGACCAGCATACGTGTCCTGATATGTGATGACAGAGGCAACTTCAGCAAAGTCAGTAAGAGCTTGGTCAGGTGGCGATCAGCTGGAGGGTGGAAACTCGAAGAACTTTTTCTTGTGATGAGACCAGATGATGGCAAGTGTCTCGATTGGCAAAATTTGCAAACTATGCTGAACGAAAGACATTTTCCACTTCTACGTTGGGTAAACATTGTCCAAGTAGGAGGACAGAAAGTCAGCCTTACTGAACTACCATGGGTAGTTGATTTGACTAACATTTTGATACACTTTGTTGACTGTCAAACAACTCCTCAAAATTACTCAACATACTTACCAGCCAACTACATTTAAAGTGAGCTGTTGTCTACATTATGAGACAGGCTTAACATTCTAAGTTGATCTAAGAACCAGACTGCAACTAAGAGTGAGGACATACACAACATCATTGAAGCTAGCTCAAAATACTTCTATGATATGTCTACATTTCCTAGTACTGTCTGCCAATCAAGTTCAACAAATGCATGGCTGTCTACAGCACTACAGGACCAATTCAAATAGACAAAACCTTGTACTGTGTACCATCAACTACAAAGATGATGATGGAAGCATACAAATAGCTTGAGTGCCTGAAACCCTGAAACCCTGAAACCCTGAATGTGGGAAACCATCAATTTTTGTGGGAAAAAGGCAAAGTTCAGCGTTAGAACGCTGAAAAATTCCTTGAGATCAAGGGTAATAAACGAGTCTCTTTGTAAACTCAGAGGACTCATAATACTTTTGGAAATTGTCATGCATTTTTGACCAATATCTCAAAGAGCAAGAAGGCTGGTCTGATGATATAGTCACATTGCATAATATGATAATATTTTTATATAGTTGTCTTAATTTTCCATATTTGGATATGGACCCTGAACACTGGACACAGCCCCTCATACATCATGGCAACAAAAAAAGTATCATTTTAATTTTTTACTCATTTTTTTCTGATTTGCTAGCCATTTTTCTTACTTTGTTATATATTTAGATATGGACCCTGAACCCTGAACACAGCCTCCCCAACTTACTAAGCAATATTCAGATTTTTTACATATTTTTTGCCATTTTTCTTGCCATTTTTCCTGATTTTATGGCTACTTTTCTGTTTAAGAGAAAAGGTTCCTGCGGTGATGAAAGGTAAATCAATCAATGAATGAAAAATTTGCCTAAGTCCTCAGTTGATAAAGAATGAGTCTTACTTGTAAACTCGTAAGGACTCATAACAGGTGTTCCATGAGTAAAGCGTAAATCGTTAGTGCTCACTAACACTATGTAAATCTGGCAAGACCTTGTAAGCCTTGATCAACGGAGTGAGCAAAGGTGTGATGACTTTTGTAGAACTAAGGATCAGCTCGAAGGATCAGCAAGCATCTCCTAGTGAAGGTTGTGCATGTCACAGAAATCTGCAAGTACAACCTTTGCTACTTTCTAGGAAATCCACAGGAAGTTGGAGCACAGGCACAAAGTCTAGTTCCAGAAGTCCTAGACAATGATAGTCGAGTTCTGGCATCTGTTCTCTCGAAGTAGGATGTCAGCAAGGAGACTCTTAACAACACTACTTACCTTTCATTAGGTAGTACAATAGAACACCTCAAGCCAATGCGAGTAGCAGTGGTAGTGATGGAAAAAAGAGTAGTATTTGTATGTGTATGTATGATGTATATAAGTGAAGATTGTAAACAATGACTAAGCCTAAAAACAATGACTAAGCCTAAGTCAGGTGAGCAAGAAGGGTAAGTGGAAAATATAATAGTACTGGAGTCAAATCCATGGGAGTTGAATCGAGGTCTTTACCATCCCCCATGAGTTCTGGCAGATTCCAGCGGATTCCAAATGGAAATTCCAACAGAATCTGACGGAATCTGGTGGAAAGAGTCAGAATCCAGGAGCCTCCCAGAACAGTTTCCATTGGAATCCACATTCCACTTAAGTTCCAAAGGATTCCGTTGGAATTCTGAAGAAATGCAGTGATTACAGTTGTTATTATAATATAAAAAATAATGACATGAGCAAGGATTGAACCATAGCCTCAGCAGACATCACATGACTAAAGAAGAGCATGCTTTAAGCACCACTGAGCCATAGAACCATTATAAGCTGAAGAATTATTACTTTATACAAGTGGCTCTCAGCTGCACCTTCCCAAACGAGCCTCAGCAAACGCTGACGCTCAATTTAGTGCCATCAACAAACCCTCAACCCTCTTCTTCCTCAACTACAACCATCCTCCACGACGACCCCCCCCCCCTCCTCACCACATCACCTACGATGGATGACAACAACCACGGACGACAACAACCATGGACAACACGACACGACCACCGAATGGTGAATGCGGCCCACCATCAGCACCCATGCACCCACAAATGCCCACAATGGCCCATCACCACCCCCCACCAATGGCAACGAGGAGCCACCAGCACCAGCACCACCCGCTAACGTCAACGACGGCCCACCAGCAGCAACCACCGCCATCCACGAGATGACCAGAACAGCACAGTAACACCACGTCACCAGTCCCCGCAAACGAACGAGCGCCCACCGGATCGTGACGACAACAATGTGGCACGTCAGTGGACGTGCCTCCTCATCTGACAGTGATGACGCATAGTGATTGTCACGGGTTTAGCAACCCATGCGGGTTACGGGTAAGGGTACACTTGGGTAAGGGTACAGGTTTGATATTCCCAACCCTCACCAAACCCGTACCCGTGGCAGGGGTTAGCGGGTACCCATAGCAATACCCGTCATGTTATTTGGTCAGTGTTTGTGCAGCAATAAGATCGAAAAAATACTAATTTATTGCTGCCAAGTTATGCATAAGGGATACCTGAACAATTTGTAAGGTATTTTATCCCCTGCAAGTCACACTGGGAGAAGGGAAGTTTTTTGTATTTGGTTTTGTATTTTTATGAGGGTGTATCATTTTAAATTAATGAAATATTCTACACACATGTAAGTAAGAACAAGTATATACCAGGGGGTTAACTATACAAGGGGGGTGTAGCTACGGCGTAAATATGGCATGGGCAGAGGGGAGTGCAGAAGGAAAGAAAAGAGAGG